TCAAGCTTGAACAGATAGGTAAGGTAAATGCTAACAAAGTGGCCTGGTTACTGTGGGGAAAAAATGTGAGTTGTTGAAACTGCCTCTGTCCTTCCCCACCCTTGGCCCTCTTATTACAAACATTTGCACCATTGATCTTTTCCCAGCAGTCACCCTTGATGGACTCCTCCATCAGCTGCTTTGATTCTCTAAATCCAAACATGGAGCAGCAAACCTGGATAGGTCTGGTCAGTTCTTCTACTTCCCAAAGTACTGAAATAGTCCTTTCTGGAAGTGCCAAAAGAAGGAGTGGGCTTTCAGGGGAAACGTGAGGGTGGGGAAGAAAAGTAAGCCATTGTCTTTCTTCAGCAGCAAGCCATTGGAGCAGTTGCCTCTGGAAGTGGGGCCAAGCTGTAATAGAAGGCCGTGGCTAATGTACACTCCAGTTAAACTAGTTCTGAATAACTGCGATAACCATCTGTTACCATGTTATGGTGGCTACCCTTAAGGTACAGCTCTTTGTAGTTTTCTTCAGTAAAGCTGTCTCGTGGCCATTGTACTCGTGTGCTGCAGTGGGCCAAACCCCCTGCTGCAGGTAGGTGTTCTCCTCCATGATAAGCTAGCTCAAGAAGTTCTTGCTACTGTCCTCCTGTAACTCCTGCACTTACTGCCGTCATTCTTTGCTACTGGAAGTGTTAGATCATGCTGAAAAAACATTTTAAAAATAGTAAAACCTTCAGGGGATTGCTTTTTGTTTGTAGTGGATTCACTTCAGTGATCTAGCTAGCTGGTTGCTACAACTGAGTAGCAGCAAATTGTGGCATAGATATGAGAAGTTTATGTGCTGGCTTTCCCACTGTAATTAACCTACCGGGAGCCACAGCCGTGGTTGTGCTTGATACAGAGTTCTTACATTTGGAGTCAGCACTAATGACCATGGCTTAGAATTAGCAAAGGCATTGACGACTTCTGTTAATAAAAGCAAAATGCTCATATTGGATTTCATGAGAGCTTTCCTTTTTTTCTTTTTTTTCCCCCATGCTGCTGATTGAAAGCAGATATTGTTGAAAGACTTGTTTTAGAAACAGTCAAAATGTGGAAGTACTGGGAGAACAGTGATAGGCTTATGGTCATCTGCCTCCTGAGGATTTTAGAAAATGTATGTCCCTATCCATTGTGGTTGCAACAAAAATAAAATTTTGCTGTAATGGCACACCTAGTGTCTCTGTTTCTTATTTACAAGCACATCTGGAAAGAATGTGAATAAGATCCTAGAGTGGGTTTCCTCGTTTACTTGTTCAGGTTTCAATTAAATCCCATTATACGTTGTTCCTTAAAAGAAACCATGTGGACAGTTTGTCCTGTTGCAGTCCTTTGGCTATCAGGGTGGGTATTGGAATGATCTAGCCCCTCCCCAGCCACCCCCAAAAAAATTTGTGCCTTTCACAGCCCAACAGCTCTTCCCCAGTGCCTGGCTGACTTGCATGGTTATGACAGTTTGTAAAACTTGAAAAAGATTTTGTGACCATTTTCCTTGCAACGGTATTGTTGAAGTAGCTGAGGAGCTCTGCTCAGCAACTTACCAAGTGGGTCCTGGAGAAATTTGGGGAGAAAGAGGAAGATGGTGTTAATGCTGCCAGCAGTAGAATGTATTGTAATTCTTCAGATTTTTTTTTTTGGGGGGGTGGGGGGGGGAGGAAATCTGTTTCTTCTCTCCAGAAATGGAGTAGGGAGTGGCTGTGTTCTTTAAGAGGGTTTCAGTCATGATCCAGAGAAGTGAACAAGCAGAAACCTGAACCCCTATTTGGTATATGCAGCCATTTAAAAATAGCCATGCACATTTTGATTCAGCTAGCTCTTGTCTGATAATTATCTTGGATCTTGGCCATTATGTTTTGAAAATCCCTCACTTCAACAGAAAAAAGGAGTGTTTCCGGTTCTGAAATTCACAAAAGTCATTTTACTTGAGTTCCATGCTTCTTCTTCCACAGTATATTTTTTTAATTACTAAAAAGCATATGTGCTAAAATTTGAGTAATATATTTAAGTATGCATAAGCCTTGGTAGAGTTTAGGCCTTCTTTCTGCAACATTAAGTGGTATGTGGGTTGTTTGGGGTTTTTCCTGGGAGAAGTTTGCTTAAGATCCTGACAGCTGTACTTGAAACTTGACCAGCTTGGTTGTACGGTGCTCAGAATTTTGCTGATGCTCTAGACTTCTTCCTCTGTCCTTTGGGTTAAACATCATTGGTGGTATGACAGAGGGCTTGGTGTCATGTACTTTTTATCTCCAGCAAGCATCATAAAATTAGATGTTCTGGTCATATTTAAATGTGTAGGGGCAGAAGTCATATTTAGTAGTGCTGTTCGGTATGTGATAAAGTATAGACATGCTGTTTAGGAACAATATTGATGAATAATTTAGAACTCTAATTTTCTTGTAAGAATCTCTACTCAGTTAAAATCAAAAGGATGAGATGATGTGTACTTGTACACGAAGGGAAACTCTTACATGTCCTAATTTGAATCATACATCAGCCCAGGAGCATTGCAGCTCTTCCTGTTGCATTCCTGGAGCATGACATTACCTCAGATGCAAAGTAGAGAATGCCTGAAGATATTTTGGATTCTAAGCTGGCATTGAAAGACTTTTCCTGAACTATTGAAAACCAATTAAATTGGGGTAAAAACTTAGTCATTGTAAACTTAAGCACATTTCTGTAGCTCGTATCATGGGGATTTTTTGGGCCTTTAGGTGTCTGTATAATTTCAGGTTCATACACTGAACACAGGTTGAAGATAAGCAATTCTGACACAGTTCTGAGTTAGTGGCCTAAAAAGAAGGAACTTAGCAATGAATCAAGGTAAAAGGTAGCAAGATAGACATATTGTGAAAGGGAGAGGGGAGAAGAAGAGTCAATTGAAGTAATGCAAACATAGGGGGATGAGAGGAGAACTAAACAAACAATGAATTGGCAATAGTGAAGGGCCACAAAAAATAGTTTCTCTTGTGCAGTTCTTGTACAAAACAGAGACAGACTACTTATTTTTTTGTTTTCTGTGGAATACATAACATGTTTAGAAAAAGCTCTAAAATGCTTACACAGGAAGAAGTGTAATTTCCAAACAGATAATGATGACTGCCAGTGAGAAGGGAATAGATTGACACTTTCGTAAATGGGAATACTGGTAGTACGATGGCTTGTGAAGACTTTTCTTTAAATAAAGCTGAGCTGAATGAAGTTTTTACTCTCAAAGAGGAAAAAATTCTCAGCATGGGCATCAACAACAGTTTTATTAGTAGAGTCATCAGTCTTCTGGTCGATGAGAAATGAGTGACACACTGGAAGTAAACAGTTGCAGCTATCATTTGGAGAGTGGATTTCCTTTTGGAATTCCCAAACACTTAATAGTCAAATATATGAATGAGAGATTTGAGCATACGAAACAGATTTTCTCCTGGTGCTGTTTATTGCAATGCAGATTTGAAGCCAAAGAGAAAACACTACAACTAGCTTATGAAAGAGCTTGGATTTGGGGGTTTTTGGCTGCTTGACTTCTTTTATTTTTCTAAAATGTTAGGGAGATACTGCAGCTCATGGTCACAGAGTTGGGGAAATTTTGTAGTAGCTGAAATATATCTACTTACTAGAGTTTAAAAAGAAAAAGTTTAGTCTGAAATATCACCTCCTTCAACAGTATTGAAAAAAATGGGAGAAGTCGCTTGTAATGACTGTTCAAGTAATTGAGACAAAATAAATTACAATATTTTCAAGACCCTGAATTTTGAGAACTGAATTTGAACAAAGGAGTGTTTCACTTTGATCATTCAACTGAAAAGCAGACTTTGTGTCTTCTAAGCAGCTTGGAATACTAAATGTCACCCTTCTCTGCATTTCAAGCTCTAATTTCTGGTTTGTTTTAGTCATTGTTTGGAAGAAAGAATAAAATAACCTTTTGCATGTCTTTATTTTAAAATGTGGCAATCCAAGGCTTAAGGATCAAAAATGAAAACATTTTGGTGAGAAAACTAGAGCAATGTATGTTTCTGTCATGACGCAAGAAAATAGTAAACTAAGATGAAATCAGTATAGAAATCATCCCCTTGTGCTTGGCACTGGTGAGGCTGCACCTCAAGTACTGTGTTCAGTTTTGGGCCCCTCAGTACAAAAAAAGACACTGAGGTGCTGAAGTGTGTCCAAAGAAAGGCAACGAAGCTGGTGAAGGGTCTAGAGCACAAGTCTTAGGAAGAGCG